ATGTCCTAGGCAAGACTTCATCAGGAGGAACATTCTCAGAAGTTTATCCTTTGCGTTGACTCATTTTTTATGCAAATGGATAAATTAGATTGTTAATCTGACCATAATCATCATGGAATTACACATCTACTCATTCAGTAATATTTTATAAGGTAGGTTAATATAATCATAATGAAAACCCAAAGAAAAAGAAAATGGGCTACACTCCTAAAAGGCCAACCTCAAAAGCATGTTTATCTCATTAAACTATAGAAAGTAAAAACACATTGCAACGGGGATCTGGAAACCACTCCTGACCATAAAACACCTAGTCACTCGCATAGGGGGGGATCAGCCACAATGGGCACCCTATAGATGGTACCAGAGAAAGTGTCCAATGTGCCCCAGTGACCCGGTGTTGCTATCTAGGTCGTATCAGCTGTACAGGCTTGTATAGACTGGACTGGTTACACACATCAAAGTTGCTGTGGCAGGTACTCGTATCATGTCTTTGCATCTAGTTCCACTGGCTGTGTCACCATCCATGTCCTCACTATCTATACATTGATTGGATTTCATTTTGGAAGCTTACCATTGCAGATTGCTGCGATCCGCTAATGCCTGGTCATCAGCCTGTCTCCATATTTGCAGGATGTATGTGGATCATCTGACACCGTGCATTTTCATGGACTTTATTATAGTGGGCACATCTTGCTGGACATTATTGTTAGGACTTCGATACTATGTGCATAATCTTTTTTTGTGCACTATTGACCTGACTGTTTAGGTTGGACTTCAGAGGCAAGAGCCCTTTACACTTGGTATCCTTGTTCAGGTCTTTGATTAGTATACTCTAATATATAGTCATCTGGTATTGAGGTTGGCCCCTTGACTGCAGTCAATCATTATCCATAGTATTATTTCATCATTGTCTTGCTTATGCAGTGTGTTGGTAGATGGGTTATTCGATCAGGCGGAGTCTGGGGGGTAGTGGGGTTTTAGTGGGTGAGTGCTACACCTCAGCTCCCTTCTTTCCTTTTTTTTGGGGGGTGGGTGGGTTAAGGAGGGTTTTTGTGGGAGGAGTGTTGGGGTACCTTGGGAGGCACTTTGGGGGATTTTTCTGGGGGGTTATTGAGAGGTGGTTGTGGTGTTTGGTGGGGTTGGTCTCTAGGGGAGGTGGGGGTGCTGTGGATACACTGGGGCACATTGGACACTTTCTCTGGTACCATCTATACGGTATCCATTGTGTCTGGTCCCCCCCTATGCCAGGGGTGGGGGGGTTTTATGGTCAAGAGTGGTTTCCAGATCCCCGATGCAATGTGTTTTTACTTTGTATGGTTTAATGAGATGAAAAAACATGTTTTTAAGGTTAGCCTTTTAGGTGTGTAGCCTATTTTTCTTTTTCTTTGGTTTTTCATTGGATGTTTTAGGCAACATCCTACCAGGTATTTCTGGAGGCACCTCACTCTACATTTAATTTTGGTGGACTCCCCGGCTTTTACTTCTCTTATTTTGTACTAACATAATCGTGACTTATTAACACAGCATGTTGCAGTTCAGCACTAGAAGTTTTGCAGCAAGTTGTTACTAAATAACAGGTGTGTTTTCCTTCCGTTTAGCAAACTGCTTTATTCAGGTGTGTGCAGATAAACCATATGTTTTTTAATCTTCTGCTAATGCTTTCATGTGTTCTCAACGTTTAACTTAAATTTAGGTCACATCAAGTAATCTGCTTCCCTTTAGTTTGTGACCTTATTTAGGGCGTATCCTTAATCTTAAACAATATTGTACACATATATGGTGGTAACAACATGAACAGATTGAGATCTGTGCCAGTAGTTTCAAGCTCTGTTAGCTTGTCATACTACAATAAATGTACAGTACATATATTTTGTTTAGCTTTGCCAGCCATTCTGAACATTTATGTCAAGAAAAAGGATTACTAATGTATACAGTGCATCCAGAAAGTATTCACAGTGCTTAACTTTTGCCACATTTTATGTTACAGCCTTATTTCAAAATGGATTAAATTCATTTTTTTCCTCAACATTTTACAAACAATACCCCATAACGACAATGTGAAAGAAGATTGTTTTGAAATCTTTGCAATTTATTAAAAAAAAAAAAAGGAAAAAAACCACATGCACATACTGTTAGTATTCACAGCCTTTGCCATGACACTCAAAATTGAGCTCTGGTTCATCCTGTTCCCACTGATCATCCTTGAGAAGTTTCCACAACTTGATAGGAGTCCACCTGTGGGAAATTCAGTTGATTGGACATGATTAGGAAAGGCATAAACCTATCTATATAAGGTCCCACAGTTAACCGTGCATGTCAGAGCACAAACCAAGCCATGATGTCCAAGGAATTGTCTGCAGACTTCCAAGACAGGATTGTATCAAGGCACAGATCTGGGGAAGGGTACAGAAAATTTTCTTCAGCATTGAAGGTCCCAATGAGCACAGTGGCCTCTATAATCCGTAAATGGAAGAAGTTTGGAACCACCAGGAATCTTCCTAGAACGGGCCGCCCAGCCAAAATGAGCGATTGAGGGAGAAGGGCCTTAGCCAGGGAGGTAACCAAGCACCTGATGGTCACTCTGAAAGAGCTCCAGCATTTCTCTGTGGAGAGAGGAGAACCTTCCAGAAGAACAACCATCTCTGCAGCACTCCACCAATCAGGTCTGTATGGTAGAGTGGCCAGACAGAAGCCCCTCCTCAGTAAAAAGCAAATGGAAGCCTGACTGGAGTTTGCCAAAAGGCACCTGAGAGACTCTCAGACCATGAGAAACAAAACGGATGAAACAAAGATTGAATTCTTTGGGCTGACTGCCAAGCATCATGTCTGGAGGAAACCAAGCACCACTCACCACCTGGCTAATACCATCCATATTGTGAAGCATGGTGGCGGCAGCATCATGCTATGGGGTTGTTTTTCAGCGGCAGGAACTGGGAAACTAGTCAAGATTGAAGGAAAGATGAATGCAGCAATGTACAGATCCATCCTTGATGAAAACCTGTTCCAGAGCGCTCTGGACCTTAGACTGGGGCGATGGTTCATCTTTCAACAGGACAATGACCCTAAGCACACAGCCCACATAACAAAGGAGTGGCTAGGGGCCAACTCTGTGAGTGACCCAACCAGAGCTCAGACTTGAACCCAATTGAACATCTCTTGAGATATCTGATAATGGCTGTGCACTGATGCTCCCCATCCAACCTGTTGGAGTTTGAGAGGTACTGCAAAGAAGAATGAGAGAAATTGCCCCAAAATAGGTGTGCCACGCTTGTAGCCTCACACTCAAAACAACTTGATGCTGTAATTGGTGCTATAGGTGCTTCAACAAAGTATTGAGCAAAGGCTGTGAATACTTATGTACATGTTTTTTTTTTTTTTTTTTTCATTTTTTTTTCTAATAAATTGCAAAGATTTCAAAACAAACTTCTTTCATGTTTTCATTATGGGGTATTGTTTGTAGAATGTTGAGGAAAAAAATGAATTTAATCCATTTTGAAATAAGGCTGTAACATAACAAAATGTGGCAAAAGTTAAGCACTGTGAATACTTTCTGGATGCACTGTATGTAACCCTAGCAATTAATGTTTTTAATTTTCTTCCTTTTGATCTGTTAACCACTTGCTGAGCATTTTTCTCCCCTAGAGTTCCAGAACATTTCTACTTTTTGGTGATGTCCGCACATTATATCTTTATAACTATAGGTTTGTAGTGTAATCTAACTAATTATAAATTGTTTTTTTTTTGGGGACAGATTGGGCTTTAATCTGGTAGCAAATATGTATACACATTTTATTTTATTTCCTTTTCTTTTATTAGGAAAAAATAGTAAAAAATGTATTTTTATGTAGTGTTTCCCAATGCAGTGTTAATGTAATTTGTGCACTACTATATAATTACCACAAAATATCAACCTAGTCCACATTAGTGCAACTTTTTTTGCAACATGGTTTTTTACTAAGCTGTGCTGCTGCTGCTGCTGCTGTTGAGGTTAAAGGATAAGGTAAGGGTCACGGGGACAATAAAAAGAATAACCAATGTGTTCCAAGGGACCAAAACACCTCCTTCACCTTCCTTCAAGTGGGATTATTTGCACAAATATTGTCAGCAGCTGGTTTGTTAGCCAAAGTATTATTATTGGACACCACAGTTGTTCTAGGACTCATTCACACAAAAGGGCATACTTAGGTGCGCATAACCCGTGCTGGTATGCATGAGATTGTGCATCCCCACAAACAACCACCTCAGTTTCACCCACACCATATGATCAATCATCATGATAAAATCAAGCCAGGAAACTGAAGTATGGAAAATTATGTCTGCGGTCTCTTTATTTGGGTTTTACAACAAATCTGATCAGGTAAAAAAAATGTGCATTTATTATTTTTTGTCTGCAGGAGCCTGTAAAGCAGATTGCTGGTGCCATGCAGGTCTCATGCAGATCTGTCAGTATATCTGCTTGCCCTATGGGATGTACGGGCAAGCAGATATACTGATACTGACTTGAAGATTCAATTAACTACCATAGCGCTCCACAGTGCCATGGTAGTTCATTGAAAACTGCAAGCCGACAGCCGCTAAGGTTGTCGGGACTTGTATTTCATTCATTCACTGAACTCTGTGGATGAATGACTCAGCCGTGTGGGCGTAGCCCCGCAGCACCACGCTGTTTTCAAATCTGACAGTTAGTACAGGGAGCTTCTCCCCGTATTTCTGACAGAGGGAGGGGGGCAGCAGCTTCAGCATTGGGAACATGTTACATGTTCCCAAAGGTTAACTTATCTTTTAAAGGACTTATCTTGGATCACAAGACTGAACAGAATTACAAATTATTTGGAACTTAAATTTTTTATAAAATCTGCCAGTTAGGTAAACACTATTCCCCACAAATGATAGAAAAAACAATACTTCCTAATAATTTAGGAAAGATTGGGATCATTTTTAATTCTTGTCAGCATGTCACAAAACATAAAATTGATTGTCTGATATGGCGATTCTTACAGGAGACATAAACCCAGTTGAAGAAACAAACTTTGATTTGAGGAAACCAGTTAATCTTGGAAGCCAGATTGCCAAATTGCAAGAAAGTGGGTTTGACCATAACTTTTGCTTGAAGGAGTCACAAAAACAACAGACTTGTGCAAGGTGGGACAGCTTTTTCCCTTTCTTTCTCATGCCATCTTTCTTATAGACCTGTTTTCCTCACTCTTTCAAATAATTTTTATCTTTTAACATAATTATGAACCAATATGATCTATATTTTACAGGGTATACCATACGCCTAGTGGCAGAGGGCTCCGTGTGCGGACAACTCAGCCTGGCATCCAGTTTTACACAGCTAATTTTTTGGATGGCTCACTGAAAGGGAAAAGTGGTGCTATATATCCAAAGCACTCAGCTTTTTGCCTTGAAACTCAAGCATGGCCAGATGCTGTAAATAAGGTACTTTTTTTTTAACATTTTTTGTAGGGCATATTTCACCCAAATTTTCACTTTGATGGCTTGGATTACAGTTTATTAAAGTATATTAAAATTGTTATATCGATGCAAATATGCTAATTATGCTAAACTTCAATTCCAAATATTTCTTGGTTCTTACCCTATTGTGAAATACCCTTCACAATATTTATCAAATATAGGGGGAGTGTGTCCAAGATGGCACTATAAGAGCTGGAAGGTAAACAGATTCTGGTAATCCTGTTTACATAGTCCAGGTTTGTGCTGGTCACTGGCTCCTTTTGTCAATCCCACTCCCTGCCATATGTACTATATTGCCAAAACTATAAACATTTGTGAAAGAATGGGTCGCTCTCAGGAGCTCAGTGAACTCAAGCGTGGTACCCTGATCGGGTGCTACCAAGTTCATCCGTGACATTTCCTTGCTACTAAATATTCTGTGCTCAACTGTTACTGGTATTATAACAAAGTGAAAGCAAATGGGAACAACAGCAACTCAGCCATGAAGTGGTAGGCCACATAAAATGACAGAACGGGATCAGTGCATGTTGAAGCGCACAGTGCGCAGAAGTCGCCAACTGTCTGCAGGGTCAATAGCTAAAGACCTCCAAACTTCGTGTGGCCTGCAGATTAGCACAACAGTAGTAGAGAGCTTCATGGAATGGGTTTCAATGACCGATCACCTGCATCAAAGCCTTACATCACCTAGTGCAATGCAAAGTGTTGGATGCATTGGCGTAAAGCACACCACCACAGGACTCTAGAGCAGTGGAGACGTGTTCTCTGGAGTAACGAATCATGCTTCTCTGTCTGGCAATCCAAAAGACCTGTCTGGGTTTGGCGGTTGCAGGGGAACGGTACTTGCCTGACTGCATTGTGCCAAGTGTAAAGTTTGGTGGAGGGAGAATTATGGCGGTGCGTTGTTTTTTAGGAGTTGGGCTAGGCTCCTTAGTTCCAATGAAGGGAACTCTTAAGGTGTCAGCATACCAAGACATTTTGGACAATTTCATGCTCCCAACTTGTGGGAACAGCTTTGGATGGCCCATTCCTGTTCCAACATGACTGAGTACCAGTGTACAAAGCAAGGTCCTGACCTCAACCCAATAGAACACCTTTGGGATGAATTAGAGCGAAGACTGCGAGCCAGGTCTTCTTGTCCGACATCAGTGCCTGAATTCACAAATGTGCTTCTGGAAGAATGGCCAAACATTCCCATAGATACTCCTAAACCTTGTGGACAGCCTTCCTAGAAGAGTTGAAGCTGTTATAGCTGCAAAGTGTGGGCCAACTCAATATTGAACCCTACGGACTAAGACTGGGATGCCTTTAAAGTTCATGTGTGTGTAAAGGCAGGCGTCCCAATACTTTTGGCAATATAGTGTATTTAGAGTCCTTTTTCTTAGACACTGATGATAACCACCAACTAAGATACAGAATTGAGAATGTTTAAGCCTACTATATCTGATATTCTGAAGGCTTTATATGCTAGCCATTTTCCCAGAAAGGAAAGGTTGATAATATAAAATCTGATTTGAACATTCTGAGACATGTTATACAAAACATGTCCATGAAAGAGCATCTAGCATACAATGCAGGGTAAGTGAATAAAAGATAGATTTGCTCTTACGAATAAAGTGGTTCTAAAGGCAAAAAGGTTTTTTTTACCTTAATGCATTCTCTGCATTAAGGTAAAAAAAACCCTTGTGTGTGTGTGTGCCTCCCCCAAACACTTACTTGCACGTGTAAATTACAATACGTAGGGAGGACTAAAAGATCATTGAAAGTCAGGTTGAAGGAACATGTAAAAAATATCTTTAAGGGTTGTGGTAAACACAATGTCTCTAAACATTTGCATTAGTACATAATAGAGATCCGTCACATTTAAAATTTTGGGAAATTTAAAATCACCAAAAACAGTGGGGAGGATTTTTAGATTGAACACACTGACCCCTAGTGGTTTGAATGTAGAATTCGATTTGAACTGTTTTATTAGTGGTTTTTAATTTGTATTTTAGTTTTTATGTGGATATGCATTTCAATAGAGAGATATAGTATATATTTTCTATATACCTATCGGAAATTATGGTAATTTATGAAGTTTTATTATGTTAACTGTATCTCTTCTTTCCCGTTGTTTCATGCAAATGGTGTTATGGGATGAATATAGTCTAGTTATGCACCATGATAGTCGTTTTAAAAATAGATATCATGTTCTAGTTTAAGATCAATATCTCTTTACATCATATAGTAATTGGCCGCCATTATTAGTAGATATTGCATTAATGTTAAAGGCTTACAATTATATGCTATGAAGGACATAGAGAAGATGGCCATCCATATATTCTATATATACGAGACTACAACAAAATGGCCATCAATTGATTATGATCACAGACTATTTAAGGACACACGATCTGTCCTCTATTATCTGTTGATGAAGTCACATAACGGTGACGCAACACGGCCGTAACTGGAGGCAGATAGAATAGGAAACGACGCATGCGGAATTGTTTATGCGATCTTGGATTGTGAAAGCACATTTTATCCTGATTTATGTGAGTGCAATATTTTAAATAAATGTGAATAATTTTAAACGTGTAATGCACCATATGAGGCGTTATGCATGAACGAGATGCTGCAGCTTATCTAAGGTAGAACGGGTCCTTCTAATACATCTGGGCATTGATTCAAAAGGAGAAGAGGGAAATGGAGTGTCTATAAGGAGATGAGTGAAGGAGAAAGACGGAGTTATTATGCATACACATTATTAAAGAAAAGTGGAGGTGAGAGTTCTGGGAGCACTAAGGTGGCACAAGGTTGCACGAAGTGGATCTTTAGCAAGGGCACTTTTTAGAACCATTGGTGTTTGTCACATATATGTTATATGGACTGATTGTTTCAAGCAATTTATTGATTTGCACATTATTGCTATGGACTTATTTATTTAAGTACTATATTTGTTCACCGGAGTATGTCATTTATCAACCTCCTGTATTGAACTGTATCATTGCTGTATTGTCTCCCTTTATACTGTAAAGTGTTGAGAAAACTGTCGGCGCTATATAAATCCTGTATAATAATAATGATGATAATATAGAATGATTTGTTTACTATGCACATATTTTGATGTGGTGTTTTAGATAGCAGCGCTGCATCACATTTATTACTTCATTGCACTTTCATGTGGGAATACATATTGAGGTCTAATGGAGAGATTTATACCTTGTATTTGGTGGGATTTAAGGGCAACCTTAAAATATATAAGTCAGACAATTTTTAAAAGAAGATTTGACATTTTATTTAAAACATCAGTACATATTTCCCCCATAGCATGATCTCATCCTATACGGGGGGGGGGGGGGGGGACTCATTCTCCAAAACACAGCAAAGCATTCTCAGTTTGATCATTTTTTGTAGTATGTAAAACATGTAAATTTGGTTTTCCAATTCCTGGATCAGAAAAAATATGCACAAAAAGTGTAACTATTGATAATTGTTGTCTTAGAGTGGTATCATTCATGCATTGGATATAGGCTGAATGCACTTGTAGTTCCCTCAAATGAGGTTGCAAGATGAATATCGCTAATTTTCCTATGCAACAATTACTATTGCCAAGCAAGTATGCTTTCAAGAATTGTTATATTCTATGGGGGAAATATGTACTGATGTGTTAAATAAAATGTCAAATCTTCTTTTTAAAAAATTGTCTGATCGTTAGAAAAATAGGGATGATGGCAACCACACTCTAGGTTACACCGGATGACTCTTTTATCTACACATATTGATGTCAGCTGCAGCGTTTATTAACTGATAATCACCGCACACTAATTAGTTGGCACAGGAATCTGTATTATTCATTTTAATACAGAAATGTGAATGGAAGTGCCATGTCCCTGCTAAAAAGTCCACATGTGACTTGCAGTAAGGGTCACGGGAACAATAAAAAGAATAACTAATGTGTTCCATGGGACCAAGACACCTCCTTCACCCCCTTCAAGTGTGATTATTTGCACAAATTTTGTCAGCAGCTGGTTTAACCAAATTATTATTATTGTACACCACAGCTGTTCTAGGACTCATTCACAAAAGTGGGCACACTTATGGTGCGCATAAACCATGCTGGTATGCATGGGATTGTACATCCCCACAAACAACCACCTCAGTTCCACCCACACCATGACCATATGATCAATCATTATGATAAAAACAAGCCAGGAAACTGAAGTGTGGAAAATTATGGCCGTGGTCCCTTTATTTGGGTTTTAAAACAAATATGATAACCTTTAAAGGATAAGTTCACCTTTTGCACAAAAATATTAAATGCACATTTTTTTGCAGGTAAAAAAAAATTTGCATTTATTATATTTGGTGTTGATCAGCAGATCACTGATGCTGTGCAGGTCCCCTGCAGATCTGTCAGTATACCTGCTTGCCCATGCGGGATGTGCGTAATGCAGTGCAACTTCTATTAACTGTGGACAGGTGGCATGAGCAGGCTAGATAACGTACATCATCCAGCCTGTTTCAGGACAGGCATGTGCGCACTTCCTTCTGGTCCTCGCTGATACTGGCTAAAGCGGTCTTTTGTCAGCAGGTCCCAGCCAATGATTTATGGCTGATACCTGCTGATTGGCTTTAGCCAATCACAGCACACAGTTTACAAACATAAACTAGCTCCTAACTTTTTAGATGCACTGGGTTTTATGTTTTTTTTTTTTTTTTTTTTTTTTTAATTCTAGCCCCAGTTCCCAAACATTCTGCTACACTGTGGTGAAGAGTACAACCAAACAACTTGGTTTCAGTTTTCCGTGGAATAAAAAAAAAAATGGCTTTCAACAAAGTAGGTACAAATCTGCTGCGCCTCTTCCAAAACGACGGTTCTGACAATGGGGGTTCAATCAGGAATTTGAAATTTTGCTTTACCCAACAGATGCAAGTTGTTGAGGTCTGCTGTAAGAGCATGATGTTACAGTACACATCTGAGTAACACAGCCAATATT